CCTGTTCTTACCCTGCCAATGGCCCGACTGCCTGCAGCATAAAGTGACCGTCCTAACCCTGGTGGTGAGACCCTATCGGGGACCCTCAGCTTCACCTGTCCCCTCCTCTTTGCCACATGTCAACCTAAGAAACCCGCAAACCTAGAGCCTTCCTGTGAGTGTATCTGAGCCAAACTGCCAGCAACTGCCGGAAGCAGAATGGCAGTGTGTTGAGATAAGGCTCCGGAGACGGCGGTTTTGCACCTCGTTTCTTTTTAAATATTTTATTGATTTTTTTTATAGAGAGGAAGGGAGAGAGATAGAGAGTCAGAAACATCGATGAGAGAGAAACACCAATCAGCTGCCTCCTACACACCTACTGGGGATGTGCCTGCAACCAAGGTACATGCCCTTGACCGGAATCGTACCTGGGACCCTTCAGTCCGCAGGCCGACGCTCTATCCACTGAGCCAAACTGGTCAGGGCTGCACCTCCTTTTACCGTCTCCGCCCAGGTGCACTGGCCATGCCCTGAGGGTCTGGGGAAGGGGAGCTACCATGACATTGAAAGGGATGTTCCTGTGGAAGCCAGCAGACAGGCTTAGGTAAGGTAAAGGGTGACCTTGTCTGGGAGAGCCTGACCTAGGGCATGACCACGCTCCACAACAGCTTTTAGCTACGTTTTTACTTTCAGACCATCCTTTGTGGTTGCTTTAGGTCTGAGTTTGCAAGGCTGCCAGGCAGGCCTTCCCAGAGCTTGTCAGGTGAGCACTGGCCCCTTTATCCACAGACCCCTCCCCCGGCACAGACCCACCCTCAGCACAGGCCCTCCCTCAGCACAGACCCCTACCCCAGCACAGGCCCTCCCTCAGCACAGACCCTCCCTCAGCACAGGCCCTCCCTCCGCACAGACCCTCCCTCCGCACAGACCCTCCCTCAGCACAGGCCCTCCCTCCGCACAGACCCTCCCTCCGCACAGACCCTCCCTCAGCACAGGCCCTCCCTCCGCACAGACCCTCCCTCCGCACAGACCCTCCCTCAGCACAGGCCCTCCCTCCGCACAGACCCTCCCTCCGCACAGACCCTCCCTCAGCACAGGCCCTCCCTCCGCACAGACCCTCCCTCCGCACAGACCCTCCCTCAGCACAGGCCCTCCCTCCGCACAGACCCTCCCTCCGCACAGACCCTCCCTCAGCACAGGCCCTCCCTCCGCACAGACCCTCCCTCCGCACAGACCCTCCCTCAGCACAGGCCCTCCCTCCGCACAGACCCTCCCTCCGCACAGACCCTCCCTCAGCACAGGCCCTCCCTCCGCACAGACCCTCCCTCCGCACAGACCCTCCCTCAGCACAGGCCCTCCCTCCGCACAGACCCTCCCTCCGCACAGACCCTCCCTCAGCACAGGCCCTCCCTCCGCACAGACCCTCCCTCCGCACAGACCCTCCCTCAGCACAGGCCCTCCCTCCGCACAGACCCTCCCTCCGCACAGACCCTCCCTCAGCACAGGCCCTCCCTCCGCACAGACCCTCCCTCCGCACAGACCCTCCCTCAGCACAGGCCCTCCCTCCGCACAGACCCTCCCTCCGCACAGACCCTCCCTCAGCACAGGCCCTCCCTCCGCACAGACCCTCCCTCCGCACAGACCCTCCCTCAGCCAGGCCCCTCCTGCCTGCAGGCTTCCCTGTCACTACGCTGGCAACTGCTCTCCCGGTGCTCTGGTCAGCGCAGGGTTTGCTTCAAGATAAAGTTCCAGCCCCGGTTCCGGCGCAGCCCGGGCCTTTCCCACTCGAACCCCGGTTTGCACTTTCTGTTGGTCTTATTTATTTATTGTTTGTTTGTTTATTTATTAATATTCCAGAGATCAGCGGGCTGCCCCCTTCCCCCCCAGCCCCCCAAGTGGTGAGTGACCACTCCGTGCTCCCGCCCTCCCGCTGTCGCCGCATCTCATCCCCATGGCAACGACCAGGCAACGTTCGCTCGGTTTCCGAGCTCCTCGGGGCGGGGCGGAAAAAATTGAGATGTTAACCTCTTATAAAATGAATCATTGGAAAATATGTTCTCCCATTCATTGGGTTGTCTTTTCATTTTGTTGATGGTTTCCTTGCTGTGCAAAACCTTTTTAGTTGGATGTAGTCCCATTTGTTTATTTTTCCTTTTGTTTCCCTTGCCCGAGGAGATGTATCCAAAAAATATATTATTAGGAGCCATGTCAAAGAGCTTACACCTATGTTTTCTTCTAGGAGTTTTATGGTTTGGT